TTATGTATCTATCCTTTGTTCTGGTGGCTTTCAAGTTTATCCGAACATCTTTTATAGTAGGGCGCATTCTGTATGTTCATTTAGAGGAAGCCCCCGATGTTGACAAACTGCTGGAGCTCATCGACCAGATAGTGCTGGCCAGAGAGTTGAAGGACTTCTGGTTGGAGGAGGAACTCTTCGCCAAGTTAATCTTTATCTTACGATGTCCTGAAGTTTTGTTTTACATGACCCGCATGAGGAAAATTAATCCTGTTAAATCGTATCGAAGAGGAAGAAGACGTGTGGCGCTACTGATGGATTCAAATTTTGAAGAAGAAGAAGAGAAAACTGAGGAGACCACCAGTTTAGTTGTGCCGGACAAATCTATATGGGGGAAATTTAGGAGTTTTGAACTCCCTTCCCAGTTCTCTCGGGTAGCTAAAGCTGCTCATGCAGCACTGGACAAACTGGACATTGGCAAGAACAAGAAAGATTAGTAGCTTCTACACGGCGATGTCATTTTCAGAAGCTGTCCCATGAGCTGGGGTTCAAGCATTATACAAATAATGGCTAAAATAAAGATCCATATAATTTAAGTCTTGGTAAACAAAATTTAAAAGTGATCCCAGTTTAAAAACATTGGACTTGATATCGGTTTTAGAAATTCAGAATACCAATATCTCCTTTCTAAATAGGGTAATATTTGGTTCTTTTTTTAATGCTGTCTTGCTAAATGAAGAAATGAGTGGAGTGAATTTTACGTGGTATTTGGTGGAATTTGTATTGGGCAAAATCATTTATTGCAACCTTTATTTTGTTTGCTTGTCTGAGAATAAGTTGCTGAATAATACAAACTAAATACAACTCCAGTCCCAAAAAAAGAGACTGCCTATTTTTGTAAACTAAATGTCTTAGACTTATCTGGGTGAATTCAAAGCCAAGAGTTTATCATTAAACTTCAGAAAACTTTGATGCAGAGCCTATCATTGATAGAGTCTGGAGTCAACGTAAGGGATTTTTTTCATTAATTTCTGCTGCCGTAGAGTGAATATTGGAATCATAATGTAGTTTTTGGCCCCTGAAGCTGGAACTTCTTAGATACCAAATTTAAAAATGATTTATCTTCTATCGTAAAAACAAAGCAATTAGTTGTTTGTTTTTAAATATATAAAATCGACAAATTTATCCATAAAATTAAATAAAAACCAATTTGATAAGATAGATCTGGAATGGTGTCTGTCAGTTTTAAATAATACTATGGAATGATTCCTATCTTAAGATGATCATGATGATGTAAAGAATCAAATTCTCTGTCCAATCATGGCCAGTTTTTCATGGCCAACCAATTGAGTTGACAACCCTGGCAAATGCAGTGCAATATTTTACAGTGTATTTTAATTTTTGAAAAAAAATGCTGCTTTGAAATGATAGCGATATTTCACATGGCTGCTGTTTGTGTGAGTGAGTTCCCTTTCATTTTCTCCCTCCTAGGTTGTAGGCCTTATTTCTAAGTGACTGTCATTGTTTACAACAATTTACATGTTGACCTATCCAGACTTTTAAAAACAATTTCTATTACGATGTCACCCATAACCATGAAGTTGTTCATTAAACAGAATGTAGATCATATATTATTAACGAAACTTCACAATTTTTCAATGTATTTCTTTTTTTGCCCGAAGCCAATTTTAACTTTTGATCAGATATTTTCTTTGCAAATAGGCAAAGCTCAGCTATGATCACCTTAGGTGCCTTAGTCCAGAGAGTTTCATGCTTGAACAAAAAATATCTGGCACATTCCAATTGGTCAAGATTTCACTTATCCAACTGGCAATAATTTTAGTTCTATTATCCTCCAAGGTTTGTCGGAGGAGTGGGGGGGAGGGGGGCGCTGTTTGCCAGAAGAACACCATGGAAGGAAATAATTTGGTAATATTAGATTAGCAGTATGTGTATTTATTTTCCTAAAAATAACCAATAGGCATACAGAAACACTTTTAACCTACATTTTGTTCAATTCTATCAAAATCTTGCAACACAGCCGTGAACTTTTAGGCAATCCTAAGTGTATCTCAACTCACTGGTTGAAAACCACTGCTCTAGCTGCATGTAATTCATGTAATAACTATAGTAGTAGTAATAGAAATGAATTTGTGAATATCTAAATCTAATAGTATAGTCTTTCAGGTGTGACTTAGTACCGGTAATATGTCAATGTGACATTAATTATTAAATCTTAGCCAATTGTACAGCACCAGACACGGTAGTGTGTTGTTTTTAATGTGTTTTTACATTTTCTAAGTTTGTTTGTAATGACACCTCAGCTGGCATGGATTGATGATGTCTTTTAATTTTTGATCTGCACATAATTCTGCTGCTAAAAGTTTAAGTAGACCTTTGCTTTCATTAAAAAAAGTATTTGGAAAGATTTCATAGGAATCCAAAGAATTCAAAGAGAACACACAAAAAGGCAATTTTTCGGGTTCAGTCATTGAAGGCAACCATGGTGTAAAATGGTGTTCTCACATAGAAAAGGAGTTGTTGAATCGGTTTATCATGAGGATTATATGAATAGGTATATCTAATTTCTATACAGAGGATATATGTTACAGGTCTTTCATTTCACTTTGGAGGAGATATTTAAAATTATACATTGTACTCTTGCTATGGTGGTAGTACTTTGATAGTAGTAGTGTGGTACAGTACAGGTAGTATTACCGTGGTAGTAGTGTTGAAGCTAAATAAAGATTAGCTCACATTTAGTTTATGTTTTGTCCAACAGATTATCTAAAAGTAAACATCAGTATTTTTAAAATATAATGTTGGTTACATAATGAACCCTTGTGGGTTTTTTTTGGGGGGTCTTCCTTTTTTTTCAGTGATGGACATTTTATGTTGACTTTGTTAAGACATGTACTTGTGACATTATTGATCTCTCTACAACTTTATCTTGTTTTATACCAGCTTATATTTTTATCTTCTCATGCTCTTACTCCTCTCATTGATACTCAGTTTTCTAGTTCCACATTAAACATGTCAAAGCTTACAAAGAGGTTGATATTGCTAGGAATTAAACATTACTTATTTTATTTTGTGTCCCTTGTGGTTCTATTGTGACTTATAATTATAACTTATAGCATAGAAATAATAGTTCATGTAGTTTAGCAGCTCATAATTTAAAAAAAAAAAATCAAATATAATTTTCTTTAGAAAAATTTCATAAACTTTTTGCAGTAACTTTGTTATTTTTCAATATATTTTATATTGAGTTTGTTTTCATACTATAGAACTTTATTTTTCTTTCACTTCAAGTTTGACATTAATTAGAAGCTCAAGTTAAACTGACCTCACAAAGTAGCTCATTGTGACACATGCTGACTTGCTGTAAATTGTGTGAGATTTACAATACAGTACGGTACCGTTTTTATTTTAGATAATCATTCACTGTAGAACACTTTATTTTCAGTTGGGGGAATTTAAAAAAAAAAAAATAACATTTTAATTTTGTCAGTAAGTTTTTTGTTTAAGACAGATAATTTGACAGAATGACAAAATACTATATTAAATTAAGTTGTTCTACTAAAGTCTAGCTGAATGAATTGGCTTAAAACTATGTTGACTAGTTGTTCCCAGACTGACATTAAAAGTACCAGTACTTGTGTGACTATGTATGTTCATCAAGCTCATATGTTGTAATTTCTCTCATCTGTCCGTGCATGATCTAAACATTAGATGTTGTGATTCCAATAAAAATTCCTTAATAAATTTTGGCTTGTGTTAATTTTATGTTGTTACCATTAAAAATGACATTTATTTCAAAACAAACGAATTTACAGACAAAAAAAACAACTCGTCTTTTTGAGCTAATCATGAAATATTTTAATTACATCTGATTTTAATGAAGTGATTATATTTACAGAGCTTCAGCAATAAAATGCCCACAACGATACATTACTGGCAGTCCAGTGGTGCAATCAGGGCTGTTAATGTTTCCAAGTCATACATATCGGTATCCTAAACTTGGCCACTTGAAAGTTTATTTGAATTTGGTACCGGTTACCTGTAAGAAATTCCGTTACATGTTTGTTCTCAAATGAAATATGGATTCATCTCTAGAACAAATTTAAGTCGTTAAGCAATGGCTCACAACTTGAGACACATGAAACTTGCAACAACAGCCATTTGAGTATCGGTACCGACATTTAGAAAAACGTCAGGACAAAAACCAATAGAAAAATATAATTCATTAACTGTCAATGCATACCGGTACTTGGATTTTTAGATCTCACCAAAGTAACTGAATGTTGGAAATTATAATTTGATGATAATTGAAAATAACATATGTTCTTTGCACCAAATAAATGCAACTGAATCTATTAAAAGCTTACCATAAAATTAAAGCTTATAACCTGGGCCTTTTGGGAGAAGGTATCAGTAGCGCACCAGAAGGGGGTGGGGATGTGTGGGAGCAAAGTGGGAGACTGTCTCAAGGGCACTTTTGTTAATATTTGTTACTAATATTATATTTATATTGTGAATATGTGTGTAGGGAGGGTGGCACAGATTTAGTTCAGAAATTAACAATGTGTACAAAACTACTGCATCTAACATAGATTATTTTAACTTATTGAAACCAGCCAGAGCGCTGGGACATTGTTTTTAAACTAAGATGATCCAGGTCAAACTGGGATGTTTGGTAAGCCTTTCAATATAAGCACTACAAATATAATAAATATGTATACTGGTATATTTTTACAGATTATAATTAAATGAAAAATTTAACAATGAGTTTCCTTAAAATTTTTAAAATTACTTAAATACACATGCTACACACCTTAAAATGTGTTGTTTTTTTTATTAGACCAAAATAATCAACAAAATAGTCCATTATTTTTGTCATGAAGTTATTGTTCAACAAAATCCAAAATTCATATCTATAACAGCTAAGATGACATGACATCTCTTGTAAGATGACACTCTGTTGTTAAAAGGCAAATACTTTCTACATCTTCAGCAAAATCCTTATCTTTACAAATCTCTGATTTAGAATCACTGTTAGCGGTACAAAGCTCAGGAGATTCACTTGTATCATCAGAGCTGGCATCATCGCTGCTGGCATCAGTCTCTTCATCACTATCACTGCAGTCATCACTATCAGAAATTTCAGCTTCAGTAAGTTTGACAACATTGTCAAAAATGTGTGCAATGTCATCACCGTGGGTCTCCGATTCATGACATTTTTCTTCTATCAACTTCTTGGCATCTGACTCCATATCATCAAGATTTAGACCTAAGTCAGATTTTGAAATGTTCAGGTCACTCAAGGCTTTAGCAAGCAATTCAAAGCGTTTTGAGTCTGCACTCTGCACCCAAATACAGTAATCTGTGATATACAAGTTGTTGAGAGGATGCCTTACATCACTCTCAGAGAGAATGGAATGAATCCCTAGCAAACATTTTAGAATCTGAGTTTTTCCAACGTTGAAAATTGTCTTGACGTCTGATAAAACTCGATTAAACAGTTTCCAGTTGCGGTAAAGTGGAAAAGTAACAGATCGACGAGCACAGCTCACAACAACATCTTTGATATTCTGAAAGGATTCTAACCAAGAAAGTGTTCCACTAAGTTTGCACACTGTCCAGTCAGATTCAACATTTTGTTCTCCATTAGTAAAACGAAAATTATAGGCATAGGCGAAAACCAAATCAACAAGACTATAATAGACGGGCTCCAAATCTGTTTTATCAATAATATACTCTCTGCGGGGAAGTTGTAGAAGCTTTTCTGTTTCTTTTTCCGTTAAAACAGGCGCCAAACCTACAGTGCCTGTAAGCTCAGGAAAATCTGGGATGATAAGTTCTTGAATTAATTCATCATCAAAGAAATCTGCGAGATAATGTTCACAATTAAAAAGATCTAGTTCCTGCTGCTCCCGCAGCTGCCTTCTTACTTGTTGAGGTGTGTTATCAGGATCTCTTAAGTCTATGATTTCTGTCAATTCTGTTGTTATCTGATTTAAAGTATTTCTTTTTTTATTTGCAAACCCATATGTTGTGTCTTTTAAACCAAGACTAGCAATAGGTTCTGGTTCTTCATTTGGTATTTGTTCTAAAAACCAACTGCTTTCACCATCTTCATCACTTTCTCCACTGTTGTTTTCTCCGATCACTGGTCCAACAACTTCAATTTCTGGAAGTTCTTTACCCTTTTTAGGGGTAAGCAGTTTAGTTAATAAGTTCAATCCATCAAAATGTTCTCCTTTATTTTGTTTGGCAATACGCACTGTTAGCTGACCAGTGTCAACATCATATTGTGAGGTGGACTGTTCATTATCCTGAATACAACCAGGTAAATGTAATCGCAGATAGTAGGGTTGCGAGTAGAAATAAAACTCGTCGTCATTTACATAACTATCGGTTTCAGAAAGTTTAATATGCGGGGCTTTAATGAGAATATAGATGAAGTCAGCATCTTGAGTAATTGAGAATTTCGGCGTCAGCATTGTCAACACTGTAACAAATATCTACTTTAATTTTCTCTTCGGCCTCGTTGTTATTGTTCACATGTTCGAGGTAATTCTAAATACCAATAAATTGAAAATCACTCTGCTACAATGTTCCCCAACCTTTGCACACACAAAATTAAAATTTTAAAGTCAGACATGATAAATTATTTATCAGGCGCAAAAAAAAAGTCATGATAATGTTCTACTCCTCACTTCTATAATGACAATAATTAACTTAAGAGTGATTATTTCAATGCATAACACCCATGAAATCACGTTAGTACATTCTGCCACTGTCAGATTGAAATGAATTTCTATACATTATATTTTTTCCATGTTTTGATGGAAGTTTGAAGGAAAGAATTGTTAGTTTGTTACTACTAATTTCTTTATTTTACGCGACAGTGCTTTAAAAACAAGTTTTTTTTATAATGTTATAGGCTATACCTATATTGCCCTACAAATAATGTGTAATTTCTAGTTGTGTATTGTCTGCTGAGAAGTCATTAAGGCTAAAAATCGTGTTCATCTATTTTTATATCCAAATATTGTCTTAGACTTAGAGTCTCTAGTGCAGGGTCCCAACTAGTATTTACAACAAAAGAACTTTGCGTCATCCACGTTTCCACTTTCTAAAAGTAAGCTATTTTTAAAATGTTTTTTTTTTTAATGCTAATAAAGGTGAAAAATAATACCATTACTATCATTCATTGCTTTAACAATTATTTAACTCATCTTGGCGACTGTAATTAGTTCCGAATATTCAAAACTCACATTAAAAATAAAACCAACAATTAAAACCAAAATAATAATAAATATGGTAGCTAACAAAAGAAATAATTTAAATTTTAGTTATTCGATTATTTGAAGACAACAGATATGAAATACTGAAATCACTTGACATGATAGAAATTTAAAATAATGTGGAGTTTGTCCCTAATAGTTTGAACGACTTAAGTATTTAACAGTTATTTCCCTTTGACTGTCATGCCAATTAGTAATTGTAGGATTATGTTACAAGATTTATTCAAATGAAATCGAGATGATTAGATATATACCAGGAACGTCATTTCCGTTTTTCTTTTTTTAATGGGGTTGAGACCCCCTACCTGGTTTACCCAAATGACATCCCTGAATTCTACATTATTAATTTCAAAAGGTCTTGACGCTGTTTTCATGTTGTTTGGACATTTTGAAAAACAAAATATTTGAAATGTCGTTACACTTTCATCTCCTGCACATTCTCATCACACACACACGCACACTCTCATCACACCCACACTCTCATCACACACACCCTCTCATCACACACACCCTCTCATAACACACACACTCTCATCACACCCACACTCTCATCACACACACCCTCTCATAACACACACACTCTCATCACACCCACACTCTCATCACACACACCCTCTCATAACACACACACTCTCATCACACACACACGCACACTCTCATCGCACACACACGCACACTCTCATCACACACACACTCTCATCACACGCACACACTCTCATCACACACACACACTCTCTCATCACACACGCACACTCTCATCATACGCACACTTTCATCACACACACACTCTCATCACACGCACACTCTCATCACACCCACACTCTCATCACACACACACTATCATCACACACACACACACACACACAAACACACGCACACTCTCATCACACACACAAACGTATTCACTCACACACAGTGCACCTGGTTTGAGGAAATTCTAAATACTACACAGGGCCGGCGCTAGGAGAGTGCGGGTCTTTGGGCTAATTGAATTTTGCTGGGCCGTTGACAAAAGGTTAACGGGTCTATATACAATATAAAATTCCCTGATAATCCCCTTTCGTCTGCTTAACATGCGCCCAGGGGTCTTCCCGAGATTCATCTCGAATTGATAGTATGGGAGCCAGCCTGACCTTCAGGCCATTTGACTATCCAATAACTCCGAATATTGTGTTGACTGTATTAGGAACTATTAGTAGGCTTAGGTATATTCTAAATATACTACTGCAAGGCGCGGGGTCGCCCACTTCACCATCCCCTAGCGCCGGCTCTTCTACATTTTAAAGAAAGATCCCAGATTTTCCCAAGATTGCATCCCATCTATTTCAAAATATGCATATTTTTATATCTTAATGCCTCCATGTTACACCCCTCCAGTCCAAAATATATAAATGAATAATTTTTTTTTTCTTTCTCAAAAATCTTTGATCCGCTACCGGGTGTACGCCCATGGCGTCATGTAAGTCAGTGTTTCTCAAATGGTGGTCCGCGGACCAGCGCCGGTCCAAGAGCCCTTACGTTGCCGGTCCGCACAACATGAATATTCATGGTCGAATAAAAAGAAAATGTAATTAATCAATCTGGCCCCGGTGGCAGCGGTCCCCGGTGCAATTTCCAAACGTGTCCACCGGTCCCTCAAACTTAAAAGTTTGGGAAACGCTGATGTAAGTGACACGGTCTCTTACGCTCCATCTGAAATCACTTGAACAAATAAACAGGACCCAATTTCGGGTTTTCCCTGAAGTACCGCTGTGCAACCCTCTGCTGCTCTAGACGACAACATAAGGGATTATATGAAGCCAGGAAGTCAATTGATTTTTTTAACATGTGAAACTTCCCAACTGATGTCCGAGTGCCAATGTAAACTAAGGTAAGTTTGGGGAGTAGGCGACAGTTCTATCTCAATCATTCAGCCACCTACAGCCGCAACGAGCAAGAGGATATTTGCCCAGCTAGGCGTACCAATAACTGTGGAATAAGGTAAGCTGTTAGGTCGAAATAGTTAAGGTAAGGAGCAGACACAGAAGAATGAAAAAATAAATATTGTTTTCAAATATTCATCTGGTTCTGTTTATAAACTAATAGGTCTTGCCAAAAGCTGTGATAGACCCATGCCCAAAGGTTTTCACAGAATTAATTATGACATGACTTAAGGAGGCGATTCAGTATGCCATATTGGTCATATTAACCCAATTATTGAATTCCATTTTCCATGATTTTACACCTCTGACTTCGTCTCAATGCTGATGTAAAAAAAGATCTCAGTATGGATAATATCATAATTAATATAAAGAACACATAATATCTGGTCTTATTTCATCCATTTTTTGACACTTATTAGTCGATCTGTCACGTCATTAACTCGTATGAGTCTGGCACTCTGTTAACCCTTGTGTGCTTGGCCTCTGTTAACCCTTGTGTGCTTGTCAATCTAGTAACCTATAAGGACATGACACCGTAAAATGAAATTATTCAATATTTATTAAAAGCTATAAAGTAAATATATTATAAAAACATAAGGTACAAATTTATGCATTTTGATTAGCTGTAATTTGATCACAAATACTTAAACTCATACTTTTTTGACAGTGTGTGTAAAGAAACACTTTATATTTGAATAATGAATCAAGGCCAATAAGGATAAAGTTGACATCAGTTGAAAAGTCAAAAGTAATACTTATTTAAGGTTATATTGTGTTTTATATGAAAGACTTTGTTTTATCAGCAGAAACCATGGCTAAGAAGATGATCCTGCCATTATTCCTGCTTCTGACAGTGATGTATCTCCAATGCATGGCACAGAAAGGAAATATTGTGGATATGTCAATGGATAACGTTGATAATAATACAGGCGTTGCAGTTAATTGTGGTAAGTTAAATTAGAATTGTACATTAATTTAAGAAATGATAATTTATTTCGTTTCATTTCTGTACGGTTTGATTACACTTTTTATTGTATTTACAGACAAGAACTCTATTTTGTGTGGGGAAACTTTTAAAATAATTTATACCCATGAAATGATGAAGAAATTTCTCCAAATATAATTATGTGTTTCAAACAAATTAAATTAAGTCGTGGACGAAGTTTGTGGGAGTTATCACTTCTTGTAGGGGACGTTCCCAATGATCTGCCATAGCTTAAGATATTTTAACATTAACACATTTTTTTTTGTAGGCACTGCTGATATTCAACTTTCCTGGACACCAAAAGATCTGTTACCATCAGGGGAAGTAACAATTAAAATTAGCTACATCCTCCGTAAGTAATTTGTTAAATAAACTTTAAAATGTCAGCCATTTACTAATATAGGCTCTAACAATTAAGACAAATTAGTGTACTTTTCATGAAGGAAATCTATGTTCTAACTTTGGTGAAGAATTTTTTTAAAAATTAGAGTATCTATACCAAAAAAACAGACTATTATTTTTTCATTAAGTATCTAGAAAAGTTGGACAGTTTTCAAATTGTTTCTTGTGAACTTTTGTTAACAGCTCATGTTCTAGATGGTGGTTCCTTCAATGCAAGTCTTTACTTCCATGGAGATGACAGTCCCTTCCTTGGCTATGCAGACAAATTTGACTGTGACACATTGAAGCAGTACAGTTTACCGGTAAATTGTCCAACTAAGCACTGTGAGTACAATCTTTGCGGTAAAATGTCAAACTAAGTCCTGTGAGTACCATCTTGGCGTATTGGATAAAAAAATTGACATAAAAGAAACAATTGTGAGTTTGTAGATCAACATAGCTCCGTAAGCACCAAAAGTGCTGACTGTAGTACCTTGTAAGTCAAGTGAAAGCCTGAAAGTATGTAAATAAGTAGTGGCGTAACTGAGGGGGGGGGGTGTGAGGGGAAGGGCAACACTATTGGGGTTAGATGTAATATCAAATAAATTATGTGTGTGTCAAAAGGGTACACTTTTACACCTCTGCTTCAGCAGTATTTAATGAAAGAATTTACAATACTCTTTGTAAATTGTGTGAACTGTAAGAAATTTGTTGAATATGTAATTACAAACTATACTCCAATAAACTTTTAATTCCAGTATGAAATTTTAGAGCACAATGATAGTATAAAAAAAGAAAATTGTCATCTTCTAATAACACTCTCTGCTTTTATTTTCTGTCACCATAAACATCACCGGAGACACACACATCACCGGAGACACACACATCACCGGAGACACACACATCACCGGAGACACACACATCACCGGAGACACACACATCACCGGAGACACACACATCACCGGAGACACACACATCACCGGAGACACACAGTATTGGGGCCTTCTATAAATGACATCACGCTACTTTTGATCAATTTTTGTATCCCCCACCCCTCATAATTATGCACTGTAATGACACAATGTCACCCCCTATTTTTTATGCCCCCCCCCCTTTTTATGTTGATGGTGTTTTCAGAATCACCAGAATAGAACAATTCAAAATTCACATTTGTAGTTAGTTAAATGAAACATGAACATCGCTGATTTCTATTCCATAAATACAGATACAACTGGTTTATTTAGTGAATAATAATAACAATACCCTTTCATCTTTTTCCTCAGGGCAAATTGTACATACCCAAAAAATAACCAATCTCCATGTGCTGACCAGCTATCCAGTGAGTTATCTAGAAATATCTAGAATATTAATTTACATACTGGTACTGAAGATTATATTTTAAAATTACATTTGCTAAAATTCTAAAATTAGAACAAATTGTTTTGTTGTCGTGGTCATGTTGATGTTTTTGCTTGGTTGGCAACTCGTTAACCTTGGTTGGCAACTCATCTAAGAGAACGAAACACTGATTTAAAACCAAGAGTCCCGTAGGCGGATAACATTGACACCATGAAAATTCTGACAACTCCTGCAAAGCCACTGTTGTTTCATCCACTTGATGTTCCCTTGGGTTATCCAACGGCGTGGAGAGAGGTGATTTGTTGTATAGGGAACCAGCTTATAATCCTAAAAATAATAATCCCATGCCTTGTGGATTTTTTACTATGAAGTCTACACGATCCTCACATTGTGAGTTTGTCCTGTGAAGTCTACACGATCCCCACACTGTGACGGACGGACGATAGCATGGTCATGGGCACAATGGGACATAATTTCAAATGCTTAAAAACATCAGTTAGTTTATAAATATGGAACTTGTTTTCTGCTTGAAGGTGACCTTTAAGTTTGTGAGACCCTATTAATGTCACTGGTTAGTTCAGGAAGTGATACTCTGAAATCATTCATTAATAAGGGAGATAACTCCCAACACTTGAGAAGGGAGAGACAAATTGGATAATTTTAATGATAAAATATTACCTGGCACTGAGAGAAATGAAGAGAGAAGCTAGCTATTAATACATGTGGTCAATTTGATAAGAGATGTTCACACTGGAACACTCAAACACAATAGAAAAGCTGTCACTATTTGTTTTAACGTCAATTTCCTCAACCTCCTCACTTTCCCTCCCTAGGGTTATTACGATGCAGTTGTGCAAGCTTGGAACCGTGAAAATGAGGAGTTGTTCTGTGTCAACATAACGTTGAAGGTTCTAGAAGTCTACAATGGGCCAGATGAATTCTAAGAAACACATCAGTAACACATACATTTTCTTCTTCAATCATTATCAAATACATGTTTGATTGTTTGTTTTTTTGGTGCAGATTTCATGTACTTGAGCTTTTATTTAATGCATTTTTACAAGATTTAATTTTATTTCCCATTTAAGTTGATTCATTTTTTGACTGAATATTAGCAATTGACATGGTCTCATGTCAGTTTCAATTTGTGACTGAATATTTACAATTGACTTCAATGGTCTCATGTCAGTTTCAATTTGTGACTGAATATTTACAATTGACTTCAATGTTCTCCACCACATTTAAAACATTATATTGAGGCATGAATTTCCTTGCTGTAATCTCTGATTATTTATTGTCATATATTTTATGTTCTTCCATGTAGTTTCTTTGTTCCTGTGTTTAAAATGGGGTGAATTTTATCTATAATTTATTTGATAGATCAATACATGTTTAGATCTCGATCTGATTTAAGAATCTACAAACTTGGAAAAATGTCTCATTCTGAAATCAGCCAATGCAGTAGCATCTCTAGGGTGTGCAGGGTGGTGGGGGGTGCTGACTGCTGTTAACATTTTTTTGGTGAGACCAACCCTACTGATGCCACTGCTGTATAGGAATAATTTTTAAAAGTAATATATTAACCTTTACAGAAGTATACAATAACACTGGAAAGAAAACTTATAAATAAATAGTGGTTATATCTTGTAAAATTTTCTCTTGTTTCTTGCATTTACATCTCAGGAACAAAATAGTTTTTGATATTACGAGGAAAGTAAATATTTTTTGTTCTTAGAGTAATATTTTTTATTTAACCCCAGAACAACGCATTTGGGGAGCATTCCTATCAAAATACAATCGCTTGCTTTCTTATGACAATTTTCTTTTTGTATTATGCTTATTATTTTATTTCAGAAAAATCTCTTACATTCCGTCTGTGTACAACCCAGGTGAACTAATAGAATTTATTGTAACAATGCTTTCTTTTTTTTTTTTGACCTGCGAACTCTTTATAAGTGACCTATTTATTTAATGGCTTCTTTCTGGTGCTTTAAAATAGGTCAGATTTATTAAAAAGGTTATGCTGAAAGAACTTAATAAATAAATTGCTAATTATTTTTGGCTTAGTTTTTTTTTTTAATTAATAATTTTTGGTGTATGTTTTTATTTTTTATACTTCACAAATATTTAATTAACAAATGTTAGAAAATAAAACCAATTTTCCCTGTTTATTTATTTTATCAGGTTTTATTAACTGAATAAATAGTTAGCAAATAAAATTAAATATAAGTCTAGACTACAAGGTTTAAGTCTGGTAGTAAAAATATTTGTCAAAAAAATCAACAACAACTTATAATCGAGAAATCATGTTCTGATAAGTCTGTAAAAGAAACAAATCTGTAAGTTTTTAAACATGTGTATGATACAATCTTACAAGTAAGGAATTTATCATACAAGTAAAGGTGTAGGCTAAAATCATCTAAGTTGGTCCTATGTAATGTATGATACAAATTAAATTATTGCATTAGTTTTTAGGTTTAAATATTTATTATATTGAAATAAATATTCAAAAAATCCTCAAATACTATCAGGTTATGTTTTGTCCTAGAGACTTTGTGAATCCTAGCTACTTTGTGAATCCTAGCCACTTTGTGAATCCTAGCTACTTTGTGAATCCTAGCTACTTTGTGAATCTTAGCTACTTTGTGAATCTAGCTACTTTGTGAATCTTAGCTACTTTGTGAATCCTAGCTACTTTGTGAATCTAGCTACTTTGTGAATCCTAGCTACTTTGTGAATCTAGCTACTTTGTGAATCTTAGCTACTTTGTGAATCCTAGCTACTTTGTGAATCTTAGCTACTTTGTGAATCTAGCTACTTTGTGAATCCTAGCTACTTTGTGAATCCTAGCTACTTTGTGAATCTTAGCTACTTTGTGAATCTTAGCTACATTGTGAATCTAGCTACTTTGTGAATCTAGCTACTTTGTGAATCTAGCTACTTTGTGAATCCTAGCTACTTTGTGAATCTAGCTACTTTGTGAATCTAGCTACTTTGTGAATCTAGCTACTTTGTGAATCCTAGCTACTTTGTGAATCCTAGCTACTTTGTGAATCTAGCTACTTTGTGAATCTAGCTACTTTGTGAATCCTAGCTACTTTGTGTAATCTAGCTACTTTGTGAATCTTAGCTACTTTGTGAATCTTAGCTACTTTGTGAATCTAGCTACTTTGTGAATCCTAGCTACTTTGTGAATCCTGGCTATTTTGTGAATCTAGCTACTTTGTGAATCCTAGATACTTTGTGAATCCTAGCTACTTTGTGAATCCTAGCTACTTTGTGAATCCTAGCTACTTTGTGAATCCTAGCTACTTTGTGAGTCCTAGCTACTTTGTGAATCCTAGCTTCTTTGTGAATCTAGCTACTTTGTGAATCCTAGCTACTTTGTGAATCCTAGCTACTTTGTGAGTCCTAGCTACTTTGTGAATCCTAGCTTCTTTGTGAATCTAGCTACTTTGTGAATCCTAGCTACTTTGTGAATCTTAGCTACTTTGTGAATCTTAGCTACTTTGTGAATCTTAGCTACTTTGTGAATCTAGCTACTTTGTGAATCTTAGCTACTTTGTGAATCTAGCTACTTTGTGAATCTTAGCTACTTTGTGAATCTAGCTACTTTGTGAATCTAGCTACTTTGTGAATCTTAGCTACTTTGTGAATCTTAGCTACTTTGTGAATCTAGCTACTTTGTGAATCCTAGCTACTTTGTGAATCTTAGCTACTTTGTGAATCTTAGCTACTTTGTGAATCTTAGCTACTTTGTGAATCTTAGCTACTTTGTGAATCTTAGCTACTTTGTGAATCTTAGCTACTTTGTGAATCTTAGCTACTTTGTGAATCTTAGCTACTTTGTGAATCTTAGCTACTTTGTGAATCTTAGCTACTTTGTGAATCTTAGCTACTTTGTGAATCTTAGCTACTTTGTGAATCTTAGCTACTTTGTGAATCTTAGCTACTTTGTGAATCTTAGCTACTTTGTGAATCTTAGCTACTTTGTGAATCTTAGCTACTTTGTGAATCTTAGCTACTTTGTGAATCTTAGCTACTTTGTGAATCTTAGCTACTTTGTGAATCTTAGCTACTTTGTGAATCTTAGCTACTTTGTGAATCTTAGCTACTTTGTGAATCTTAGCTACTTTGTGAATCTTAGCTACTTTGTGAATCTTAGCTACTTTGTGAATCTTAGCTACTTTGTGAATCTTAGCTACTTTGTGAATCTTAGCTACTTTGTGAATCTTAGCTACTTTGTGAATCTTAGCTACTTTGTGAATCTTAGCTACTTTGTGAATCTTAGCTACTTTGTGAATCTTAGCTACTTTGTGAATCTTAGCTACTTTGTGAATCTTAGCTACTTTGTGAATCTTAGCTACTTTGTGAATCTTAGCTACTTTGTGAATCTTAGCTACTTTGTGAATCTTAGCTACTTTGTGAATCTTAGCTACTTTGTGAATCTTAGCTACTTTGTGAATCTTAGCTACTTTGTGAATCTAAGCTACTTTGTGAATCTAGCTACTTTGTGAATCTTAGCTACTTTGTGAATCTTAGCTACTTTGTGAATCTTAGCTACTTTGTGAATCTTAGCTACTTTGTGAATCTTAGCTACTTTGTGAATCTTAGCTACTTTGTGAATCTTAGCTACTTTGTGAATCTTAGCTACTTTGTGAATCTTAGCTACTTTGTGAATCTTAGCTACTTTGTGAATCTTAGCTACTTTGTGAATCTTAGCTACTTTGTGAATCTTAGCTACTTTGTGAATCTTAGCTACTTTGTGAATCTTAGCTACTTTGTGAATCTTAGCTACTTTGTGAATCTTAGCTACTTTGTGAATCTTAGCTACTTTGTGAATCTTAGCTACTTTGTGAATCTTAGCTACTTTGTGAATCTTAGCTACTTTGTGAATCTTAGCTACTTTGTGAATCTTAGCTACTTTGTGAATCTTAGCTACTTTGTGAATCTTAGCTACTTTGTGAATCTTAGCTACTTTGTGAATCTTAGCTACTTTGTGAATCTTAGCTACTTTGTGAATCTTAGCTACTTTGTGAATCTTAGCTACTTTGTGAATCTTAGCTACTTTGTGAATCTTAGCTACTTTGTGAATCTTAGCTACTTTGTGAATCTTAGCTACTTTGTGAATCTTAGCTACTTTGTGAATCTTAGCTACTTTGTGAATCTTAGCTACTTTGTGAATCTTAGCTACTTTGTGAATCTAGCTACTTTGTGAATCCTAGCTACTTTTTTAATCTTAGCTACTTTGTGAATCTAGCTACTTTGTGAATCTAGCTACTTTGTGAATCTTAGCTACTTTGTGAATCTAGCTACTTTGTGAATCTAGCTACTTTGTGAATCTTAGCTACTTTGTGAATCTAGCTACTTTGTGAATCTAGCTACTTTGTGAATCTTAGCTGCTTTGTGAATCTTAGCAACTTTGTGAATCTTAGCTACTTTGTGAATCTTAGCTACTTTGTGGATCTTAGCTACTTTGTGAATCTAGCTACTTTGTGAATCTAGCTACTTTGTGAATCTTAGCTACTTTGTGAATCTTAGCTACTTTGTGAATCTAGCTACTTTGTGAATCCTAGCTACTTTGTGAATCCTGGCTATTTTGTGAATCTAGCTACTTTGTGAATCCTAGATACTTTGTGAATCCTAGCTACTTTGTGAATCCTAGCTACTTTGTGAATCCTAGCTACTTTGTGAATCCTAGCTACTTTGTGAGTCCTAGCTACTTTGTGAATCCTAGCTTCTTTGTGAATCTAGCTACTTTGTGAATCCTAGCTACTTTGTGAATCCTAGCTACTTTGTGAGTCCTAGCTACTTTGTGAATCCTAGCTTCTTTGTGAATCTAGCTACTTTGTGAATCCTAGCTACTTTGTGAATCTTAGCTACTTTGTGAATCTTAGCTACTTTGTGAATCCTAGCTACTTTGTGAATCTTAGCTACTTTGTGAATCTAGCTACTTTGTGAATCTTAGCTACTTTGTGAATCTAGCTACTTTGTGAATCTAGCTACTTTGTGAATCTTAGCTACTTTGTGAATCTTAGCAACTTTGTGAATCGTAGCTACTTTTTGAATCTTAGCTACTATGTGAATCTTAGCTACTTTGTGAATCTTAGCTACTTTGTGAATCTTAGCTACTTTGTGAATCTAGCTACTTTGTGAATCTAGCTACTTTGTGAATCTAGCTACTTTGTGAATCTTAGCTACTTTGTGAATCTTAGCTGCTTTGTGAATCTTAGCAACTTTGTGAATCTTAGCTACTTTTTGAATCTTAGCTACTATGTGAATCTTAGCTACTTTGTGAATCTTAGCTACTTTGTGAATCTTAGCTACTTTGTGAATCTAGCTACTTTGTGAATCTAGCTACTTTGTGAATCTTAGCTACTTTGTGAATCTTAGCTACTTTGTTAATCTTAGCTACTTTGTGAATCTAGCTACTTTGTGAATCCTAGCTACTTTTTTAATCTTAGCTACTTTGTGAATCTAGCTACTTTGTGAATCTAGCTACTTTGTGAATCTTAGCTACTTTGTGAATCCTGGCTATTTTGTGAATCTAGCTACTTTGTGAATCCTAGATACTTTGTGAATCCTAGCTACTTTGTGAATCCTAGCTACTTTGTGAATCCTAGCTACTTTGTGAATCCTAGCTACTTTGTGAGTCCTAGCTACTTTGTGAATCCTAGCTTCTTTGTGAATCTAGCTACTTTGTGAATCCTAGCTACTTTGTGAATCCTAGCTACTTTGTGAGTCCTAGCTACTTTGTGAATCCTAGCTTCTTTGTGAATCTAGCTACTTTGTGAATCCTAGCTACTTTGTGAATCTTAGCTACTTTGTGAATCTTAGCTACTTTGTGAATCCTAGCTACTTTGTGAATCTTAGCTACTTTGTGAATCTAGCTACTTTGTGAATCTTAGCTACTTTGTGAATCTAGCTACTTTGTGAATCTAGCTACTTTGTGAATCTTAGCTACTTTGTGAATCTAGCTACTTTGTGAATCTTAGCTACTTTGAGAATCTTAGCTAC